CCCTGTGAGGGTAGTTGGGGATCTGGACAGGCTGTCCAGCATCCCTGTAGGTCGGGCACGGAGACCACGGTCCCCTCTGCGCCATCTGGGAGATTGGTGTCTCCCCTTGGTAGGGTAAGCTGCCGCTGGGGAGATAGGGTGCTTTGCTCCTCTCCCTGAAACACAGTCTGCCGTTGGAGAGAGAGACCACCTGTCTCCACTCCCATAACATTGTCCTGCTGCTGGAGAGAGAGACCAACTGTCTCTGCTCCCGGGAAGGACACATTGCTGCTGGGGGGGAAGGACGACACCTTCGGCCCCCTGGAATTCACACTGCCGCTGGGGAGGAAGGGCGACACCTTCAGCTCCCTGTAATTCACACTGCCGCTGGGGAGGAAGGTCAACACCTTCGGCTCCCTGTAATTCACACTGCCGCTGGGGAGGAAGGACGACACCTTCGGCTCCCTGTAACTTGCACTGCCGCTGAGGAGTGAGACCGGTTGTCTCTTCTCCCTTGTCAACACACTGCCGCTGGGGAGTCAGACCGACTGTCTCGACACCCAGTGATGATGGTTGCTGCAGGGACGAGGGACCGACAATCTCCTCTCCCTGGGATGCTGTCTGCCGCTGGGGAGAGAGACCGGTTGTCTCCTCTCCCTTGACAACCCACTGCCGCTGGGGAGTCAGAGCGCCTGTCTCAACTCCCAGTGATGATGGTTGCTGCAGGGACGAGGGACCGACAATCTCCTCTCCCTGGGATGCTGTCTGCCGCTGGGGAGAGAGACCGGTTGTCTCTTCTCCCTTGACAACACACTGCCGCTGGGGAGTCAGAGCGACTGTCTCAACTCCCAGTGATGATGGTTGTTGCAGGGACGAGGGATCGACAATCTCCTCTCTCTGGGATGCTGTCTGCCGCTGGGGAGAGAGATCAATTGGCCACAGCCCCAATCTCCGCAATCAGAGCTCAAATTTCCATGTCGCTCGATTCTCCTCATCCAACTTGCGCATGGTTGCCAGGGTCGTCTCTAATGAGGGATCCGGGCCATACCTGGTTAACCGCCTCTTTGCCTCCTCCCTGTAAGCGGCACCCTCAAAACGATAGGTCATGTTTGCTGTGACCAGGGGCACTGTACGAATACTAGCGTTGCCCTCAAATTGTAATTCCAAACATTACCGGTCCCTCTGCGCTGCTTCTCCTCACACTAGGACGCCATCCCACCGCTGCCACCACTGTGACGGAACCGCTGGCACCCCGACCGGGTACCTTCCGCCGACGGATGCTCCTAGTGCTTTCCGAGGACTCCAAGCACTCTGCCTGACACCATAACCACTGCAGACCCCACAAACCGCCGCAGCTTGGTTGGGGTCTCACCGTCTCCACCCACTCTGGACCCAGGACCAGGGTCCAGCTTCCAGCAGGTCGACCTCTCTCCGAATTCCAGAGAGCAGGAAGAGGAACAAGCTCTTAGCAGAGCTTAGTGATTATATCCTGGGGAGTATAGTGATTATAGCAATCCCCAGAGTGTAGTTTCTCCAATCCCCCAAACATGAGCCGAAACTTCATGAAGACCGTACTCCAATGAGCGTTTATTACTGCTTATATACAAGTTTTCAGGTCAGAGGCACACCCCCTGGACCTGGTGGTAAACTGTGACAAAAGGGACACAAACCAATGGGAACACTAATTAACATAATAACACTCTCACATACACAATGAAATCCCTCCTCTCCATCCTGGAGATAATTGGCTTAAGGCACTGCAGTAAACTCAATTATCTCCAGGTACAGAAAATATCTACATTTTACACTAACAGCAAAAATACGTAAAAGTACATAAAAATACATAATTCTTATTTTATTACACAGAACCCCCACATTTAACCTATCCCCAGATAGCTCGGATCTGAGCGCCCAATCTAGGTGAACAGCGCTCAGATCCCATGAACAGAGTAGATTTTCCACGGGGTAAAGCATAGCAAGGGCTGTTGAGAAACCAAGGAGGGACAAAAGCAGTCAGTTCCAACTGGTTTGGCAGTGTGCCTGGGACAACGCCCTGCTGGAGAACAATAGACAGGAAACGGGGGAGGGGAAGAAACACACCTTCCCATGGATTCCAATGGGAAGAAACTGTCTTTAGAAGCCAATAAGCCCCAAATAGTCTTTTTAAATGGCAATACACCCCAGGGCCATAGTCATGAGGAAGGAGGCTGGCAATCAGGCTCCTCCAAAAGCCAGCGGCAAAGGGCAGCTTGTCACCTAACAATCCAGGGACAAAAGGCATTTCGTCACACTGTTACTTGCTCACCCTTTCTACTCATTGCTGACCCCTCCTGCTCCTTGCAGACCATTCCTAGTCCTTGCTGACCCTTCCTGCAACTTGAAGACCCTTCCTACTCCTTGCTGACCCCTCCTGCCTCTTGCAGACCCTTCCTATTCCTTGCTGACCCCTCCTGCCCCTTGCAGACCTTTCCTACTCCTTGCTGACCCCTCCTATGCCTTGCTGACCCATCCTGCCCCTTGCAGACCCTTCCTACTCATTGCTGACCCCTCCTACTCCTTGCTGACCCCTCCTGCCACTTGCAGAACCTTCATATTCCTTGCTGACCCCTCCTGCCCCTTGCAGACCCTTCCTACTCCTTGATGACCACTCCTACCTCTTGCTGCCCCTTCCTACTCCTTGTTGACTCCTCTTGCTCCTTGCTGACCCTTCCTACTTCTTGCTGACCCCTCCTGCCCCCTGCAGACCCTTCCTAGTCCTTGCTGACCCCTCCTGCAACTTGAAGACCCTTCCTACTCCTTGCTGACTCCTCCTGCCCCTTGCAGACCCTTCCTACACCTTGCTGACCCCTCCTGCTCCTTGCTGACCCTTCCTGCTCCTTTCTACCCCTTCCTGCTCCTTGCAGACCCTTCCTACTCCTTGCTACCTCTTCCTACTCCTTGCTGACCCCTCCTGTTCCTTGCTGCCCCTTCCAACTTCTTGTTGACCCCTCCTGCCCCTTGCATACCCTTCCTACTCCTTGCTGACCCTTCCTGCTCCTTGCTGCCCCTTCCTACTTCTTGCTGACCCCTCCTGCCCCTTGCAGAACCTTCCTATTCCTTACTGACTCCTCCTGCCCCTTGCAGACCCTTCCTACTCCTTGCTGACCCCTCCTGCTCCTTGTTGCCCCCTCCTGCTCCTTGCTGCCCCCTCCTGCACAAGCTGAAAATCCAGGGGGGGGGCAAGAGCTCCCCATGCCCCACCCCCTCCCCCTGCGGATGCCCATGATATAGTTTACAGTTTTTGTTAAGACTTAATATTCTTTTGCCTTTAAACCAGCTGTGGAGGAGTTTCTGAATATCTGACGCAGCAGATCATGTTATTTATTCTTGATTGGGGGTGATTTAATTTCAGTACACTAGTACTTATCAAACTTCCTTTTGATGGAGAAAATGGTCGACAATGCTGAAGTATAAAAGGTCCAGCATGGTATTTACTTATCAGTGTTTATCCTCCTCATTATTGATTGCACTGAATACTCATTACACCCATTCTCCACTTAGAAACAGTGTAGGGAGTCAAGAGCCAGTGTGCATTCATATATCTTGACATCATAAGCAAATGCAGGCCATTTAGAAAGGCATTTCGGGATGATTCCAGACCTTTAAATTCTGCATGGTCTTAGCAGAAAAGAGATCTTTCTTACCATAGACAGGTAATCATGGCTGCATCCATAAATCAAATGTAAGTCAGGAGATTCATGAGCAATAGTCAGAAGGGAGTTGGAAACAGAACCAGTGGATCAAAACACCAACGGCTGGTAGACCAAACAGTCAAAAGGGATTATAAGACCAGACAGATCAATCTGTGCACAGCCTGGATTGACTACAAGAAAGCCTATAAAACAATGCCACACACACATGGATTCTGGAATGTTTGGCTCTACACAAGGTCAGCAAGACAATAAGAGCCCCACTGAGAGCTCAATGGACAAGTGGAAAACAACTCTAGAAGCAAATATCATCAACAATAACACAAGTGAACATCAAATGTGGCATACACCAAGATAATGCGATATCATCAATGCAGTTTGGCATAGGCCTCAAACCCCTTAGCCAGATCATCATGAAGAGTGGAAATAGAAACAGGTTCAAGAGTGAAGCTCCCATCAGCCACCTCTACACGGACAACATCAAGGTGTATGCCAACACTAGCGAGACATTGACTGAGTGATATACCTAACTAGGTTATACAGCAAGAACATCAGAATGTTTTTCAGACTAGATAAGTGTGGGGAGATGATAGCAAAAAGAGGGCTGATTATTAGGACAGAAGGAGTTCAAGTACCAGGAGGTCAAATAGGCAAGGAGGATAGCAACATCCAAGTACCTCCAGAGAGTCAGAATGGTCCTGAAGTACGCCATCAACCCATATGCCCTACCAGTCATTAGGTACACAACTGCAATACTAACTAAGAGCTGATCACCATGGATGTTAAAACTTGGAAACTACTCATTATGAATGGAGGATTCCACACAAAATCCAGCACACTGAGATTGTACACCAGCTGGTGCGTGACTTGAAGCTTTCATGTTAGGAATTTCATTTTTGCAATCTATAACAATCAGTGAAACATTATTTTGT